GTCAATCGAGCTTCTGTATTTCAGCTTCTAAAGTGGTTTTCTCATAAAGTAAAGGAATTTAATTAGTGGTTTTAGTACTTAGCAACCAAAAATCAAAGTCACCCATTTCAAAAACTCACCTAATTAGCTTTCATTCCAGTTACAGGGATTCATGCAACATTAAATCTCTCATACAACGCCTTGCAAATTAACGTCCTATTTCTTTTTGCACGATGAACTAAAAAAGCGATTATCCAATCCCCCTGTGACGGGTTTACTACTACAACATTCAATTAGCTGATTCATCATCGGTTAACACCAACCCACTTAACGAATCAGAGGTCTGCAAGCAACTTCAAGTGCTATAGGACACCGGGCATAGATGACCAACACCTTGCTTTCTCTAGGAGAAGAAACCGTAGTCAGGAAACTGACTGCACTCCTCCTCATGAAGGTAGAACAGACTAAGAGTTATATCTCTATAGAGGAAATCCAATTCTACCCACCTTCATAAAGTCTCCATGTAATGTGTGTGATAATTATCTGCGTACCAGTCTAATATCAGAAACATCTAATGGGTTGGGTACACAATTATTCTCCTCACGATCTGAGATAAGCGGACTGGGTTTCGTCGACAGCATTGATTTTGTACTGACCATCCGTTAGATGCAACACAGGACAACTATAACTGTCTTTGAATATTCGAACTGCCTTCGGTTTGAACGCACTATGGAATTCTTCGTTAAATAAAGCGGGGTTAACGTCAAGAAAACCGCATACATTAACATTTCAGGTAGACTGAAGGTTTACAGCCACTTGTCAATGCAACTTGGAACTAACACTAAGGTCATTTCTTTTCAAAATCCTCATCGACAACATTTTAAAGAAATCTCCAAACCCATATAAGGTAGTAGTATAGACCACTTACCAGATGGAAACCCCTTCTACCTCAAATATGCCTACATTATCATCTTACTGTGTGACAACATACAGGCTACTCAAATCATTCCCAATCTCATACCAATCAGTGTCCGTAATTATCGCATGTACTTCACGCTATCAAAGTGCTCCTACAAGATTGGCAGAGCCAGTAACTGCACTCACTCTTGGCGGTGAACCATCGAAGGTTGTAGAAACACTTCGTCACACCAGCAGTTGCAGTAGTGCTGGTTGATTTGTGACTGATGAGATTTCCAATCACAAGTCAACGGCCAGAGCTGCATACGCCAATCTGGGTCACTTCTGCTGCCATTATGACACTAACCCGACTGCAAAATGTCACGCATACGACGCGTCGGTACAGGCAGATCTACTCTACGCCTGTGAAGCCTGAACCCTATCGTCCGAGGAGGCCTAACAACCCTGTGATTCGAACTACCGTTGTCTCCATGGGACAGCTCACATTTGGTGGAAGCACTATTCTACGGCGAAGCGTTTGGTTTGGGTGAGGACATCGTCAGTTATTGAGCGAAGTCGTTCAGAAGCACTGACTTGGACATGTGCTGTACATTTCGTTGTAGCGACTCACTATTTGCTTCCCATGGGACGGGTTGGATAAACTACGGACGTCACCAGCATATGACATGACGCTGTGGAATGTCTAGTTGCGTTGGGTTAGCATCTGTAGGTGGCTCATGACTCTGGATGGAATCCATGTGAATACGAGACGACAGTAGACATAGCTCAGTATCAAAGCCAGTGGTGATCATGCTGTTGTGTTCTTCTATTTGGCATTACCGGAAAATAAAACGATAGTAAAAATGCTTCTTTTTTTGATAAATCCTTTCCACACTGCTTTCATTCTTTGTAACATCTCCTTAATGTCACTTAATTATTTTGCACGGAGCATTTCTTGGTAGCCGTGTTACAAGACTGTAAAAGACTGAAACGGATATTTGAGAGATCCGAAGGATGATTACTAGTGTTTTAAACGGTCAAAGCTGCAACAATAAGGTCCAGTATTTATCAAATTTCAAGGCTTATAAGGCAGACCATCAGCAAAAGGATAATTGATTTCATGAAACAAAATGTATGGATTAGCTTCTGTATATGCCTATCCAAAAAAATAAACGATGTTAGCCCCGAAACAAGAAGTTCGTTGTGGATCATCCCTAGATAAATCATAAAGTTCCATTGCTCTAAGATAGTGTCCCACTTTTTCAGGGGAATAAAGTATAAACACTGAGTCAGAAGCAAATGACGAGCTGTTATTGAGAAACCCAAGACTTCTCAGACTACAAGAGATGAGTACACCACTTTAAATGAATCCCAGAAAGTTCAAACTCAAAATATTGTGGAACAAATCATTCGCGCAAGATATGCTTAACTTGTGAAGCGAAGCTTAGGGTTTGCAAGGACTGGGACCGCACTTATTTACTATCACGAGCACTGAAAATTTCCAGCAGTTTGTCGGTCCAACTATGCATCAAAACACTCTTCATCAAATCATACACAACAAATAACAAAGCTTCACTTTCACCAGTATATTTGAATGCGTCATCATTTTTTGATAAAGGAAATGACTAAGTAAGAAGTCAAATCCATAACACCATAGGAAACAGAAATCAAAGTTCAGTATCAGTACCTCTGTAAGGGATAAACAGTGGGTTGATCACATATACAAAGAAGTATAACAAAACTAGGTTAAGATTCTGCTGGCTCGGAACCACGCCACAACCATCCACGCATAAGACTTGTCAAACCAGAAGACTTGGAAGATGGGTTAGCCTTCAGACCTATCTTGTCGTCCAAAGATGGAAAAGTAATATGATTTAAAGCTAGGTCAAAGAAAATCGGCTTCACAGGGACCGGATGGAATTTTGGAGGTAGATGAACGAATGGGTACATAAAACTACATAGTGTCTTTTCGATGATTTTTCGTCTGCATAGGTATCTAAACGATCAATTAAAACCTAAAAGACAGAATACCAACAATTATGATACGATGATAACCACCATAATAATCACCTGAAATAAAACCAATGACAGCCCCCAAGAATATCCAGTAACGATAAACGGAAGTTATCTCATGTACCACTAAAGCTTTTTGTAGAATACACTGAGATGTCAGAGACAAATCAGGTCGTAAAATCAGCAAACAATGTTAAATATTTCATTAGTTCAGTACGGAGTAGAGTTTTGAATGATAGACTTAAATAGAGCCACGACTATCGTGTTTACATCAGTAGGACTTCAAAAAATGCCTAACAAAGTCTACATGTGTTCGGCTTTATAGGGTATTTTTATCCAAAAATAAAATCATTTTTTGAATTCGGCACAACTGAAAGTATCTTGAAAATATAAATCACCAACTTGTTACATAAAACATATTGAACAAGAAGTGATTCAGCAACATCAAACATAAGCCACTTGTCACGTAAATAAATGCAGCGCAGACACGCACTAATTCTTTATTATTATTATTTGTCCCTTGGGTTCCTAGTGGGACATAGGGCTTCAGTAGCACGCCTTCATTCCACTCTCTTCTCTGCAATCTTTTGAACCTGGCTCCACGACAGCCCACAAGCTCTCATTTTCTCCCGCACGATCTCCTCCATGTCACCCTAGCCTCGGACGCCCAACTCGTCGCTTCCCATGGGGATTCCACTCGAGGGCCTGGCGCGTGATGTCCCCAAACGGTCTTCTCAGTGTATGTCTAATTCAATCCATCTCCACTTCCTTCTGCATATTTGTTGAGCGATAGGTTCTTGGTTAGTTCGTTGCCAGCCAGCCAGCCAGCCAGCCAGAGTTCCTTGTTGCTTGTTCTTATTATTCTGACCATCTGATCTGATCTGATCTTCAGCATCGAGTGAGTGTAGGCGGCAGCTGTTGATGAATGTCTGTAGTTTGTTGGAAATGCTTTCGTAACGCGCCAAGTCTCTCAACCATCACATAGAAGCACTGACTTGCTTGACCGAATTAGTGTTGAAAATCCGGATCTTGTTCCACATGCTGATTGCAGAAGATCTCCACACTGCTTTCAGAATAATGAAGGCCTATCTTGCTGTCTTTCCGATCTCGACTAGCTTTGACATCCTCATCTGTGTCGCCGCTGCCGCCATCTGTAGTTGAAACGATGCTGCCTAGGTATGTAGGTGAAAGAGACTACTTCCTTTAGATTTCTTCTGTTGATGGTGATTGGAGCTTCTTGTTGTGGTTGTTGTTGGTTGGGTATCTTCACCACCTCTGTCTTCTCTACGTTCACTTGAGTGGTGTCCCGTCTTCACTGCCTCGCCTCTTCTGTCAACTTGTTAGTTTTCGCCTGTAGATCTTCAAGTTTGTGTGACATTATACATAAGTCATCGGCGGAATCCAAATCTTCTAGGTTCTTTTCCGCGGTCTAGCGTATCCCTCTCTTCTCGCTCCCCACTGTTTGTTGCATGATCCAGTCCAGTCGACCACAATCAGGAATAGGTGAAAGTAGGCAACCTTGTTTCACTCTTGTCTTCACTTCAAAAGCATCACTGAGACTAATTTCCTTGAATGAAGTCTATTCAATGATAATATCATTATGCACTATTATCAAAACCTCATGAAGTACCTGTAAATAGTTAGTGTTGTAAATCAAAAACATTAGTAGCTAATAAAAAAGCATACAGCATATTTGTCAAGTGGCAACAACAACAATCATATTGATAATGGCTGCATTTAATTGGCATATAGAGCAATGCATCTCGGAGTTGGTGGCCAACCAGTAGCGATTCTGGAAAAAGAAACGAGGTATATTGGAAGGGAACAGAGAAAGCTAGCGAAGAAGCAATGTAAACCGAAACATTGGATGCCATATTTCATTACTACCTACTGCAATTTATTGATAAAAAATTTCCTTTGTCATCACAAACCAGTCTTATTTTCTACAATATCACTATGGGAATTCTCAACATAAACCACAGAATCCGTTTCCTGATCGTTAACGCCTTAGATTAATCCAGTCTGATGAAAAATGTTCCGTACTCTGATATGGACAAGACACAAAATAATTCCTAAACATTTTAACGTGCAGTTAGCTGAAAAATGCCTACCTTTTGAGAAACATCCGCTGCTGTGGTTACAGTGAGTGGATTAATACAGGTTGACTCTTTTCCTTCTTCAGTATCGAGCATTGAGGCTGCTCTACAAGTTAAATCTTCTGACTCAGCTTGTACTATAAGGGAACGTAAAGAATTTGCTAGGACATCAGGATGAGGACCAGGTGCGACAGCCTCCTCAGCTTCAGTCCACGTTGAAGTGACAGAGTCAAGCGAATTAATTGCTTTTTCAGCATGTTGTTTCGCTCTCATCAGAAGAGCAGAGCATTCAGAGTACTTCTTACTACAGTTATAAGCAAGTGCGAGATAGTAACACCTATTGGAAAAAAGTAAGCAAGAGTGAAACATTACGTCCATTCATAATGTTACATAAAACCATCTTTAAAGTGGGTGTGATGACTCAGAGGCTGTCACAATTACCGAAATGCTGATAAGCAATCTGAAAAAAGGATGATACATCTGGTAAACATTTGTACCCATCCTGTTATTTGTTACTCCTAATTCATGCATTACACATGAAGCTTTTGCCTTCACCATTATCATCAGTTTAGAGCGAAAATAAACGTATTCAGTTTCTTCTTGCTTGTGAATGGGTTGGAAATAAAACGAAAGCCTTTTGTGTTACTGTTTGAGTGTTCAGTACCAAATCATATCCAACTTAGGAATCTAAATCATACGAGTATGTGAAAGCATTCACTTGAAAAAATCAACATTATTACCTTCAATTTGACGAAATGCGATTACTAAACTTTTAATAATAGAAACAGTGAAAATATTGTCAATTCATGGATATGTTGGATTCAACGTTGATATAATCTATACCTGTCGATTATTATGCTATAGGCAAGAGTTTTCTTTGGAAACTTGGGGAGTTGCATGAACCCAAACGAAATGGTTGCTGACGAAATCTCAGCTCGGATAAAAAGAAGCCCATATGCATTTGCCAACTTGCGTCATCTGTGGAGCCAAATGGTGAGATATCCGACAGTCTATTAAAGGGCGACTTATACTGCACGGCAGTCCGTTCCGTCCTGTTGTACGACTGAGACAAGGCCGTTGAAAGTTGAAGATATGAAGCAATCACAGCGTTTCGATCACAGATGTCTTCGTAGCATTGCTTGGTATTGGTGGAACCACTGTGTGAGCAATGTTGAGGTCAGGCGAAGGGTACTGGGCAAGACAGGTAAGTCAATTGATGACGTTATGAACATCAGACTGAGATGGCTTGAGCATGTGCTGCGCATGCTGAGCCACCGCCAACCTCGACGCGCCATACTAAGGGGAGTTGGATTAGGTAGGAAGTGGGTTAAGAGTGGCCAGACAAAGACGTGAAACCAGGGGATAGAGGTTCTGACTGTTGGTGTGAACTGTGTTAGGAGGTGCGGACTGTCTGGTTGGGGACCATGAGACGAAAAGAATCAGTGGTTGAGAACTTCCGGTGATGGCTGAAAATCGGTCACAATGGTGCAGATGTATTCACTCTATGACGTCTTCCAAAGCTTCAATTTTTGCCTTTACCTCAATCTTCAAACTGCTTATTTTCTGACACAACTTTTTCTACATTGACATCACTCTTTTCTATCCACCTGTTCTTAGTGGTTTGGAATAAAGCAAATATACAATTATTATTACTATTGCTACTGTGAAGCGTGGCAACTTAAGCTCATGCATCTGTGTGCGAGCATCTACGATGATTTTGCCGGTCAATCAGTTTTTGAGTACAAAAGTAAGGATAATCGCATCAACATTCAAACTTTACGGATAGCAAAATGTAGTTAAATTTGTTCTGATCCACTGCTATATCTATACTTAGTACTGAAATACGTAGTAAACGGTTCAACTCAATCCTGTGTTAAAACTGATTGGATTGTAAAATTATTTTTTATCACTCCTGTAATATTCGAAGATGATACAACCGAGACTGATCCAATTTGCTCCACTTCTTTTCCTGACTGTCCTGTTTTGCTGAACAATTTACCATAACGATTGTTTACGCACACCGCTTATTTCTTGAAGTAATGTGCAGCCGATAGAAAGAACTTACTAGACACGACTGAACAAAAAATGTTATTTAGCTATCAGAAGCAAAGTTTCTTCACTTGAATGCTGGTTAGAGTTGACCCAATAAACTGAAATAATACCTAGCACGAGTCACAAGTTCGAACTCCGCTCCACTTACCGAGGTTTGGGCACCCACGTAGTAGTATCGCACAATAGGTGTGTGCACCAGGTGGCTGAGTGTGTCTCGTTTTTCCCTCGTAGCAAGTGACTACTTCAAGAAATAGTGTTGAAACCTATAACAATAAGTGACACTTTAATTTTATTAAACCTCACTGGTGCATCATATCAATCACCATCCACTGCTAATTCTGAAGACACCCAGAATCTCACGGTCATTTGTCCATTTCTCTTCGTTAAACTGTTGTGTCAGCTCCTAGGCAGTAAGTAAGGCGAACTCAATGAACATGATAGATGGATATAACAGGCATTTGAAAATCACTGGAGTCAATTTTTGCACTGGATCGATAAATTAAATCCTGAAAAAACATACTTAACTTACCGAAAACTGCGATTAGATAGCATTTTCGCACACAATAGATCCTTTAGACCATTGTGCTCTTGAATTAAACTCGGTAGAGATATAATCTCCTGGAAATTTTTGCACTAGAGTATCATACAAACGTGATAGTTCTTGTGGTTTAGAATAGGCGCTTGTAGCGAAATGATCTCTTCGCTGACTTCCCTCAGCTAGTCCAGCAATTGTAGTCTCAATATGCAAAAGAGTGCGATCAATTGTTTTGTCTAATTTCAAGTATTGTAAATAAGTATACAGAAGCTGGAGTCGCGAGACCTGTAGAGTAAATATGTATTTAAAAAAACAGTGTTATATCTTTGCAGTGCTAAAATTAAAGTTACTGAAATAATATTCAATGTGTGTGGGCGTATATTACAACACATCTTCAGTTACGGAAAGGACAATATTTCATTGTATGTCATTCAAGTTCAATCACTGCAAAGTTATCAAACTGTGACATGAGACCTATCAAACTAAACTACATGACGTGAATCCCCTGTGGTGTTATGTGACCAGAAATATAAACATGGAAATAAAAGAGCAGACATACACAATATCGATTTTGAAGTAGTAATAGTAAATTATGGGAAATTTCCTGTATTTAGTAAACACAACGATTTTCAAGATGTAAATACTGAGAAACAGTACGAAGACAGCTCTATTTAGAAAAAAACATCTACATGAAAAGTAAAACACATACTGGAAAAGAACACCAAAAGAAAACAAACAGTAATTAGTTGACATACGAATGTATTTAATACATACGAAGTGGAAAGAAATTCAAATCTCAAGAAATGCTTAGTTCGCAAAGCTATCGTTCAACAAACTGTCTTAAGGCGAATATATGACCACACCTTATATACAAACAACCTTAGCTCATACTTGTGATGTTGCTGAAAAACCACCAGATATAAATGATCATTTTGCTGTTCTTTTCGATATTACCAAATTGTCAAGTAGTCCCCACGTAATAAAAAAAATTAAGGGTATACATATTGAATAACAAACCAACTAACCTTTTCAGAACCCAAAGTCTGGCCAGATTTAGAAGAAGCCACTACAGCTGCTTTGTGTTTATCTCCAGTGACTGATGGCTCGGATGAAACTGCAATACGTAACTCATCCCTAACAGATGTAACTGCATCGACACATGACTTTAGAACAGATTCATAAATAGCCAATTTTGCTGAAAGAGTTTCTGCCTTTTCTAGCTCCAACTCAGATTCCTGAAAACGTGTTATTAATTAGTACAGCTGACACACCAGAGGTCACTTTCTTTGTATATAAATGCATATAAATGACCTACCTTCACAGTTAAAATAGCGATTTTCGCCTTCTCTGATTTTACTGGAATCACAGTTCCCAACCAATCAACTTCACTGACTTGACTAGCCTGTCTAGCTCGAGCTTGACTAAGGAGTTGATCTAACTGAAGTTCTGACAAAGGTGTAAGGCCATCAGGTGCTTGATTACGCATACGCTGTAAGTCATCAGCTGCCGTTTCATCCCCAACCGAATGAGCACAATATCGAATTTGAGGTAAAAGATCGTCAATGCGAGATTTATAAACAGCTCCATTGTCGTCATCTACCATTTGAAGTAGCACATCATAAATAGCCTGAGCTGATTCAAGATGCTCTTTTGCTACGGCCCAATTCTAAATGAATGTCGAAAAATAAATGAGTCAGTCAAATAGTTAAATATAAAATCTTAAAAATAAATTATTGCTCAAACATTCTTCATCATCAAAAATTTACCACTGTAGACAAACAATACTGATTTCGAAACCATTTAGGTGAATCCTCATGCTCTTCTTTTTTGAGTCTTGTGACCATTTAATTCATATCTACTTCCAATGACCATACCTCACAGCCACGTAATAGGGCAGAACGAACTGCAGCACAGTGTACTCGTACTCTCACAGGTAACGTCAGAGTGTGGTAGATGACGCAAAGTGGCAAGTGCCAAACATACCAAACAGGGTCGTGTATGCCTGTCTCAGAAACATAGCACACATCCATGGCTCAAGATTCCACAGTTCTGGCAAGCGATGCTTGCTGCTCAATTCGACATAGGGTTCGGATGTTAAAAGCTTCGATATGAAGTCGACGGTGCGGTTTTATGAAACTGGGAGTGAGGCTACGATGGCTCTGGTCGTTGGAAATGGCTGCAGAGTGAGAGGTTGAGGTTTAATACTGACCCCAGGAATTGAATGCAACGAAGGAGACAAATATGAAGGGCAACTTATTTTTTGTTGGGTTTTATATACCACTGGAAGAGTGCAGACGATCGACACTTCCCGGCTGCCACACTGTGGAAATAGTTTTTGTAGGGTACCTGAAAGAGACGTCATAGCTCACGGGACATCTGCTTGAAGCCTGTCACGCACAGTCTTCTAATGATGAACGATATGAGACTTCATTGTTCTAATACCAGACAGAAAAATCTCATACGGAGGACCGCAGGAAGTGTAGTGTTTTCGGGGTCCACCGTCCGAAAACCCCGTTCCCATAGGGAAGGCAATATCACTGTGGTACTGCTATTTATCCACCGGAAACACCTTACTGCCGTCACATGCCATCCAGCCAACAGTACAACTTCTTCCTCAGACCCCCATCATAGCGTAGAAACGTATACTATCATGGTATCGGCTTTTTGTCTTACCTCTAACAGAGCCTTTTAGCATGGTAGAACCTCGAGGAGACAAGCGTTCTAGCCAGCGTAGCTCGCTGAGTCATTTTGATATACGTGCCCGGCCAACACATCAAAATAGCAGTTTTTGGTTGATATTTCATCTTGTTACGTACGTTTGTCTGTTTGCCCGCATAACCTTATGATACAAATAATCAAGTATGTACAGTTTCCAGCTGGCGAGTCCTACTGAAATTCATTATATCCTGCTGTATTCAAATTCATTCCTTGCCTTCAACTTGGAATGGGAAATACAGATAATGAAAAATTTACAAATTTAAAATAAATTGATGTTATTCGGGTCAATCTGTTGTTTTTATTTTAAAAAGTAGTAATGTACTGTAAAAACCTTACTTTTAATGATTTGCTCAACAAATTAAAGAAAACAAAAATTACTGAATCGAGTACCTGTAACTCAAAAAATAAAATTCCACCAATCCACTGTCTGTATCCGCGTAATTCCAGCTTGGTTTGTGCATCTAACAGTGACAAATCGTCTTCCATACTGCATAAAAGTTCGGCACGTGCAACTGCTTTACGGAGCCGAGAACACATTTGAAAGCGTTTACGGATTTCTGAGCTTGATTCAGCTTTTAATTGCATGGCATAAGCCCATGATCGTTCGATTTCAAAAACTGCCAAAATAACGAAACGAGGATCTGTTACAATATCCGGAGTTAACTTCTTCGGAGTAACTTTTGATCGAGTACCCTAAACGAGAAAGAGAACATCATGAAATAAAGCCACTTACCTGTTGGAAATGTAGCGATTTCCTCATCCGCCTGAGCTTTCGAGAAATATACTGATGATATCGTTGATAGTCACCATGACGTAAACCATGTTGCTGTTGAGCTGACTTTACAAGCGACAAACTATATAAAACAAGTGTTTATGACTGAAATTAGTTTTGGTACTTTCAAACAATAGAATTAACATTTACCGTCTGGATTACTGGTAAAACTGATTTGTTTAGAAGTATAGTCATATACAGATTAGTGTACCAGAGTGTAAGACCTTTGTTGGGTTTATTAAAAAGTTAGCCACTCTAACCACTGTAGAAAGAAGGCTCAGACTCCAAGCCCTCTGGTTGTTATCACTCAAACACATGATTGACTCACAAAACTAACGCAGAATTCCCCATACGGGTGCATTGGCTCAAGTTGTCACACTTCACAATAGTACACAAAGAAAAGATGGATAGAAAAGGAGTGATGTCGAAGTAGATGAAGGTGTGGAAGAATAAACAATCCACAAAAGTGGATAATAAATAGAAGTCCAAAAATATGGAAAACTGCACAATAAGTCACACTTATCGCTTGAGGGTTAGTAACACTAGCTAGTTGCCCCAACCTTAGTAATTAGACAAAGGCTCAAACTTGTGACCCATCAGTCATTTTAATGAGCGACAGTTCAACATATTGGTTACAAAAGAGTGACCACAGAAAAACATCACAGTGAACGACCTACCAAAATAGCTAAGCAACAAGCAGAAGATTGTACAAATAATCGGATGGAGAATGTTTTCTTTCAGTAACGGGACTCGTTAGTAAGTCAATATCAAAACGAGACCAGACCTTACATCAGCACATCAAGATACAAAGCAGAAAGATGACATATCCGAAAACATGGAAAACATATGGTTTCAAAACTAGGGGAAAGTTTTAAGCGAAGATAGTAAAAAAACTACGAAGTTCAATATGACGATTATAGCGAAAGTAATATATATGGATGCATTTGTGCCGCAAGTAGGTTTTGAGCCGTATCCCTACATTCTCAAACCGCCTTTTGCAACCGAGAAGTCTGGATTGTCCTATGCAGTTCATATCAACAGTCAGAAACTACGCATTCTAGTGTAGCTGCCTTTGACCTTTTCCAGCCAAATCTACTTCACCTAACATTGTACGACGGAGAAGACAGTGACTATGCACGTGTAGCATGTTTCAGCCTCCTGAGTCACTGAAGGTTTATAACAACTTCATCAGCTGACTTACACTAGCGCAAAACTCCGAATCTGATTTATACACTACTAACAAGGTGGTCTCGACATGCGACTACTGCTACGAAGGCAACAGGTGGTCAAATACTTGAAGTTTTCTTAAGTCTTCAACTACTGATGGCCATATTTTGCCGTTACAGAGGAAAAGAGCGAACTGCTGCGCACCATACAGGATACTAAATAAGCGATCGGATATCTCGCCGGCAATAAAGGTGGCGGATGTGAATCGACCCTTTTATATTCCTGTAGAAATACTGTCTATCATCAACTTATCGGGGCTAATCCTGAATACCAAGTAAGTAAGGTGGTCCAAGTTCTCCAATACTTCCCTCTCTATTACTAGACGGGGAACCAAGGCTAACCAATTCGATACTAGCAATTTGTACCTACATGGTGAGACATACATCCCAAGAAATCTTGATTTGTCTCTCAAGGTGTCTACAGAACTGTAGTAGCATAGCCCAACAAGACTGCCATCTGGGTACAATAAGTCTGCTAGAAAGTCCTCTGAGATTACGTTAATTCGTAGAAGATAGACAAGGAGGAAACCCCCATAAACATCCCCGTAACAAATTTAAGAATGGAGAACAGACATTTCTGAGGGGCATCACTTTGTGCACACAACTGACCTGATACCTCAACATTAACACACAAGAGTGTCTGAAAAGAAAGCCTTTAATATGGTGTTGTGGTTATCTTTTTGATCGAGATATTGCTATAAGGCCTCTCAATCTAAGGAGCCAAATGACACCTTCAGGTCAAAGAGTGCAGCTGTGTGAAGCAGCAGCAAGTGGCCTTAGTTCCGAAATCTGGTAGAGGATAAACATCTGGTTGATACATCCATAGTCAAATCTGAAAGCTATTCATTCGCCTTCGATTTGTTGCTGCTGAGTATCAAATAGGTGTTCAATAATTACATAACTTAAAAACTTAATATTTCCATCAGACCAACTCTGTGATTATTATATGGGTATTTCCTCGCCTTTTTGAAGACTGAGAGAATGAGTGACTGGACTAGTCGGAAGGAATGTATCTAATTCCCATACACTAGACAACATTTCAGTCTGATTAGACAATCAGTGTTTTAAAGTATCTCTAGCGTGACAATCCTACGGCCCCTAGTACCCTTTCTGTTTTAACTCACAGCCTTCTGAACTTTGGCAAGAGTTCGAGGCTCCATATTAATTTCCCATTCAGGATTCGAATAGAATGGTGGATAACCGAATGGTGAATACAGACCAGTTGAACTTTAACCATGTTACTGCAAAGTTTGGCAACTCTGAACTGGCGTACTCAATCACGATCAAAGATTAGGAACAAGTAGTTCAGCGGCGACGTTATTTATGGCGATTATGTTGAACGGAGTTATACAACTACAAAAATATAAAACTTCCAATCAGTATTTATAATGCATTAAATAGTTTCAGTAGTATTTTGGACATGATAAATAGTGAAAATGAAGTGTCGAAACCCTAGATGTCATTTGCATGACGAAGTATCTAAGCTGCTGTCACCTGAAAAGAATCATGAAAATATGACTGAAATAGTATGAAGGTTATTAGGAGTTGCGAAAAAAAACCATTACATGTATTGCAGATGAGTGATTATTGTTCTTAAATATTAGAGCCTTCGATTGGCTAAACAAGACAATCATCTGGAATTATACTATAAATGAATGTCCCTCATAAATTTTTTCAGCGTTTCAAAACCTTCATTACTTTGGCACTTCAGGTAGATTAAAGACCAACAGCCACATATCTCCAGTTTTTTAAACTAACTGTCAGGTCATTTCTTTTCAAAATCCTCATCGACAACATTTTAAAGAAATCTCCAAACCCATATAAGGTAGTAGTATAGACCACTTACCAGATGGAAACCCCTTCTACCTCAAATATGCCTACATTATCATCTTACTGTGTGACAACATACAGGCTACTCAAATCATTCCCAATCTCATACCAATCAGTGTCCGTAATTATCGCATGTACTTCACGCTATCAAAGTGCTCCTACAAGATTGGCAGGAGCAGTAACTGCACTCACTCTTGGCGGTGAACCATCGAAGGTTGTAGAAACACTTCGTCACACCAGCAGTTGCAGTAGTGCTGGTTGATTTGTGACTGATGAGATTTCCAATCACAAGTCAACGGCCAGAGCTGCATACGCCAATCTGGGTCACTTCTGCTGCCATTATGACACTAACCCGACTGCAAAATGTCACGCATACGACGCGTCGGTACAGGCAGATCTACTCTACGCCTGTGAAGCCTGAACCCTATCGTCCGAGGAGGCCTAACAACCCTGTGATTCGAACTACCGTTGTCTCCATGGGACAGCTCACATTTGGTGGAAGCACTATTCTACGGCGAAGCGTTTGGTTTGGGTGAGGACATCGTCAGTCATCCAGCTAATTTGTTTTGAAACACCGGCTTCAGTGGTTTAGTTGTCTGCTACGAATGTCTTCCCAGAAGTTTATTTTCTGTTTTCTAGCCTTCAAGCTGGTTGAGAAAAGCGGAGTTGATCACTTTCTTAAGTGGTCGTGACATAAGGGATATTTATATTGAACCACTACCTGTTCATGCATTGTGACTCACTGAATGACGGAAGACGATATCAGACAACTCATAATCCAAACCGACAGCAATCATCAAACGGCGGTTAGTATGAGGCAAGAGAAAATTAATCCATATTTAATCCTCCTTCCCAGTAAACGGGACACTTGTCAAAACCTATCCAACCTACGAAGTGTACAAAAAGTAGAAAAAGAAGTCGACCACCTGTAAAAGAACAAAAATATGAACGAGAGAGCCTTTATATTTTACGATTGGAATAATTAGTGATTGGTAACTAAGACATGCAGGTATTCTCTGTCCTACCTGAAGAAGTTTGGGTATCACGATAGTATCACTAGTTCTCAGTGTGATTTATAAACGTATTCACTGTGTTACATTATCTGATTATCTTAACGAAAATGAGATCAAAAAGGATGAGAACTAGGCAAAATTATGATAGATTGAAGTATTCCAAACTATGATCACTTAATCGTATAACAAAATTAGGTGATCTTGAATATCTAAGTTTAGCATAGCCATTTCCATTTGACCTCGTTCAAAAAACTTCAAAAAAATATTTTCATACACTATATTCATGTAGTAAACAATCGCTATAAGACAGCTAGTCCCATTAAATGGTTACAGGGATCATTATTTAGGTCACAGCGGTACCACATCCAGTAATTAGGCTAAGTGGAAGTTCATATTTTACGTCACTGAGACTTACAAAAAGAAGTATTTTCGGCTACTGTAATCTGTTTCTATACAGAAAAAGTTTAAGCCCATAGTTTTCGCTTGAGAAAAAAAATGCTTACCAGGGATGTTTGATGATAGTGGGTTGGCACTCCCCCTATCCTCCATCGTTCAAACCAGCTGTTGAATGGGGGCGGGACAACAGATAATGTTTTCAGATAAAAGCTCCCAAGATGCGTGAAGTCTGAAATACGAGAACAAAAACCACCGAGATTATTTATTTTCACAGTATACAATTTAGAACGAAATTCAAAAATGGAACATTGGCTGCATTAATATTTGGAAAAAAGACTGACTGAACGAAGAAATATACTCCTTTTCAATTAGGTATTCATGTTCGGCTCCACACTGGTATATAGTTTGACAATTCAATCAAAATATCAAGCAAGTGGTGGGGGGTTATTATTATTTGTCCCCTAGGTTTCTAGTGGAACACAGGGATTCAGTAGCACGTCTCCATTTCACTCCATTCTCTGCAGTCTTTTCAATCTGGCGCCACTTCTGCCACGTCTGTTCATCCCTGCGTTGCAGTACACGGGTTCATCTTCTGCTTCACCATCACCATCTTCCTCTCCCTCCTCTATCAGCTTCCTGGTGTCTGTCGAGATCCATTCCTTGTCTCGCCTCTTCTTCTTCCTCCCTAACACGGTTATACAGGTTTCCTTCCACATAGCTTTCAAAGAGTGCCAGTGTTCTTGCACGCAGGTTTCCTCGGAGATATTGCTTAATGTCTCCCATTTTTTCCTGATGGCTGGCTAACGTGTTAATGTCCTTCGTAGTTTCACCCTTCAGTTCACTTTCTCTTCTGGGTGTTGAATTTCAACTGTGGTCGTCTGTCACCAACTTCTTTGAAGGCTTTCAACTTGATTTTGGAGGTAGATTCCTTGCAATAGATGCACTAGTGAGTGGTGTGAACCTACATCTGCTCCCCTTCTTGATCTGATCCTGTGTCCAGTAGGCTGAGTGCATCTCCACCTTCTTCAGATTGAGATGAGGTCGACTTGATTTTCAGTGTGTCCTGGTGTCTGGTGAAATACATGTCGCTGCCTTGTGAATATCCTTGTGTTTGTACACAGTGCCTCGCCTCCAATCACCAAATCGTTGAATGCGCAGAAGTCTGCAAACAGTTCTCCATTCTCGTTCATTTCACCGAGTGCCTCTCGACCCATGATGAGTTCTCTTCCTGTTTTGCCTGCTTCCAGTTTGGCGTTAAAACATGTCACCCATTAGAATGTGTTTTGATGTCGCCAACTGGGATGAGGTCATGTCCAGTGGTGATTGCAGTTGTCTGTAGAATTCCTTCTTCTTCTCTTCATCTGCTCAATTATTTGTGGGTGCGTAGCATAGCGTTGTATGATTGTGACTCTCCTTCCTTTTGAGTTGAATCTTGCTGTCATGATCCTGATGCTGCAGGAGGAGATTAGTTCCCACTGCATGAGAGAGAGCCTTCGATGCTGTTGGGGACATCATGATAGCCACTGCATAACTCAGTGGTTCCCAGTTGTCTTCCTTAATCTAGACACCCTGCCTAACTGAAATGATGCAGAAACAATTAAGGCAAAGTTGTGTCGAGAATACATTTTCGTCTAAAAGCCCCGAATGAATACTGCAGACCGTTAACAGATCTTTGTCTCAAGAATCTTTCCTGGCGGCATCCACAGTCTGCGGTAAGGAGTCAGAAAAACGCGAGATTAGTTGAGTATTGTTCAGTGACGTAACTTCATTCGGGTTTCATTCACTTCCGAAGAACAACGCGACCAAATGCTGTACGGTATCCAGAGTATGGTCTATCATTTAGACTTATTCGGTTATTTACAGGAGAGGAAAAAGAGACAAAGCCAACGTAGAACCTCACACACAGATGCATTAGTTTACGTTGCCACACCTCACAGTGACAAAAAGAACAGGTGGATAGAAAAAGAATGATATCAAAGTAGAAGAAGTGAGAAGTGAGAAAATAAACGATACGAATGTAAAGGTTAGTGCAAATATCCAAGATTTAGAAGACGTCAAAAAGTTAGTACATCTGTGCTATTTCGACTGATTTTCAGCCATTTCACCAACACTTCTCAACCACTGATTCTAATGTCGGGGACCGCAGTCAGGTAGTCTACGCGGCTCAGAGCAACAGTCAGGGACTTCATGCACTAGTGCAAAGTTAGCTGCATACCAGATGTCAAATAATCAAGTTTTAGGAGTAGATGTACCCTAGAATAATGGATGAGTCATATGTAACGCGTTCAAGGGTAACGTGCAAAAATATCAGTAATATTGAATACACTTTTTAGGTAGTAGTTGCATTAGTGAACGAGTTGTTTGTCAGAGACTCCTGTTGCTACCTTAAGAGACTTGAGTCTGCAAAAATTGAACCGAGAGGAAAACGTCTTCCCAAAACACAACTATGGCTTAAGTCTTGCGGAAATACTTCACTTAAAGATATGGTGGGTAATTGGTGACGATTTCGAAGAGTGGCATCAGCATAAAGTCAGCAATAATTAAAGAATCTCTCACGACTATTGCTCAAGTTCAACCCTGGTATCTCGGACACGTACTAAATTAATAAGCTACTCAACGTTTTAAAGTTTCCGCAGTCTTTGGAGGATTGTTCAGGTTGGGTTAGGATACCATCCCAGAATGACTCATGAGTTGACTAAATGGTCTAAAAGCTGGAGCCTGAAAACCAAATCTAACAAAAATGCAGTAATTCACACTGGTCAAGAGTCGTACTACCCTTAATCATTGGATGGATCAATATTGCCTAGCGATGGGGAAAAAACGATCCGGAAGTTATCAGCCATAACTTGAAAACAACGGTACACTGTAACGCGACAGCAGCCAAGGCATTTCGAATGCTTTGGTCACTCTGTAGAGCTTTTAAGTGCTTTAATGAAATACTAGGGATACTTTATCCCACTTATGTAAGACTTCATCTAGAATACTCCACACACGTAGCTAGTTCTTGTAGACACTGTAGAACGGGTAAGAAGATTGGGAACAAAGTGACGAGATTTTTGAATTTTCCCTATGAAAAGTGCCTGAAAAGTCTGAATTCTTCGCCATTATATAGCATGGAAATAGATCTTATATTAGCGTACTGCATCGTGAATAATGACTTGGGTGTTGATCTTGCTAATTTCCTTACTCCTAAGTGTGATTATCTAAGAGATCAAGGTCTAATAAACTGGGGATGGAACTCAGATTCTCCTACAGGGAGGTAAACGACTGGAACTTGTGGTGGCTACTCCTGTCAACCCCTTCAAGGAGAAACTGGATATTCAGATATTTACACCACGAGGATCAATACAGGTTAATCGACCTACCATCCTTAATTGTGAAACTGAAATTCACAATCGCAAACATGAGGAAAATAGTGGGAGTGCTGTCTAAGCTTCGCTACTTTTGTGATACTGTTGAGGACTGATAACGAAAGGCGGTGAAAATACACCCATCACTTGGAATACGGATCTGAACGTCTGTCTCATATTAATAGCAATAAGTATGTCAGAATGCATTCAAATGGTAATACATTTTGAAAATCATTATTTACTTCGATATGCAACTAACCGCGGTACAAACACGTATGAACTACGTTTGAATCATATCTTGAGTGATTCCACCAGAGTGACCAAGTCGAAGAGATTGGATGCTTTTGGTTGATTTCAAAAATTAATCGTTCGTACGAATATCGTATAAGAACAGCATATATAATGTTTTGTATGTAACTCAGTCCTGTTTACTTCTGAATATAGAACTCATAATCTGAGACAGCACTAACTGAAATCCCAAAAGAAACCGATTCTCATATGTATTCACACCCACTAGTCACACTAAAACACTGAGACAAAAAATCAGTTGCAGAAACATATATTTCTTTCAATGCAAAACTAAATATCTACATGATCCATTCTTTAGTGATCTCACAATAAGCATATTCTATCTCATAACTTAAACTCATTGTAGTAGCATCCGTTAAAATACTGAAATGAGTATTACGACGGGACGTTACAAAAACAACTGGCTGCACAAAAGTTTTTAAGTGCTGCTTAACAGTTTCGGAGTAAAAAAGTGCGTACGACTTGAATGCCAAGTGAGCCGTAACCGAAACGAATGGTAATAGCTGTTATTGTGAACATATGAAAGATGCAACTTATATTATGGTTACGAAGATAACTGAAATAATAACAGACCAATTGACCTACTACTGAATCCCTAAAGGTGAAACTGAAAGCTGCAGTTATGTTGTTCAACCGAACATCAACTCAAGATTTAATTCAAAATATGTGCAATAATTGAACTAGTCAAAGTGCTCTGATTCTCAATACCACACCCCATTTGCTACCTTCAATGAAAAATTGCTAATAGCGTATGTCTTACCGTGAATATACGCGAATAACCTTTGTTTGGTGTGGAGGGTAACGTTGAGAAATTGCGAAGAGAGCGCGGTGACACGTAACCTAAAGTACTTTGTAACGCGCGGGTCAATTATCACAAGAAAATCTTTCATTTTTGAAGACTTGTAAAATAAAAAATACTTTAATCGTTAGCCATTCAATTTGAATAGTACTAGATTTTTGTTTTAATTCCTAAGACTAAACTCGCCTGATTCGTTTTACTTTTATCATCAACTATCCTAATGTTTTGTAGGTTGTTAGTTTGTCACTATCTGATCCTATAAAGGTGAGCTGGGATGTGATTGGATGGCCGTATCTTCGTTCTTCGCTCCCAATTTTCCTTCCCAGTGTCTCATTATTCAATCAATGACCTAGTGCCTGTCTGACCTCTTTATGTTTGACAGACAGCACGCGTGCAACGGGTAGCGCTACGTGTTTGTCTGCCGATCGTCCTTTATTTACGCTTTCGGGCTGACTGTTCTGTTTGCTTTTGGCAGTGTGCTTGAATTTTTTATCGAAGACTATTATACCGCCTTTCGGAAAGGATTATTTCTCTTTACCACAGTCTATTGGTGAGACATTGTCACTGCTAAACCTCACACCCATACTCACTGGTGAATTACTAAACAAGTGGGACGTATCAAAAGTCGAAAGGCTAGTAAATTGCATAAGTAAGCGCAACCGGGCGTTTACGCCGAACATCCCGGACGTTTTAAAGGGTCGTCACTTTGGAATAACTCGCAGTCCTATCCTTCGTATATATTCCTAGGCTGTGAAAAATGTCAACAGAAAAATTTATTTCAACGTTAGCATCTAAAGTCATCAGCCTCATACTCTTCTAGCTCCGGCAACTGTTTCGTTGAAGAAAATGTCAAAAAACAAAAATCGTTTGTATCCCTCGATGTGTTCTCTACCACTTTGCATGAAGCCACATAATCAGTTTATGTCAGAACTCCAGAAACTTTCAAGGCATAACAGGTTAGTTCAAAATACACTTGGAAATACCTTGCAGGCAAAATTCTGTTTTACAGCCCCCTAATATTTTTGGTCATCTTATTGATCTACAGAAACTGTATAATGAGGTTGTTATCCGTGGTGGACACAAGCAGGTTAGTTGCGATTAATGTCCACATTTTTTGTACCAGGTTACTATTTCCCATCTTTGGATGGAAGTTTATTTGGCCTTAGGTCTTCCACCAGGTTGCGTGGATGCAGGTCATGGTTTACGTACTTTATATCAGCGTTATCTTGAACTATTCGAAAGGAATCAGCGCATGATGACAAGGAGTGGTTTCACCTCTGATGAGCCAGATAGTGCCGTGAATTATTACGAAAGTGACATCCAGGTACGTCTCAATTACTCGAAACAACCATGTCTGCAGGATTTAGATCAAACTATGAAGGTGTCTAAAACAAACACATGTGGAGCTTCTGTACGTCTTCACACTGAAGAAATTCCCAGTCACCTCCGAGGAAGTTGGAATTTAAGTACTGATTTGAAAGATGATTTTGAATATACCTCTTTGGAACGGTCATTATTGTCAGGGCTTCCAAATGAAGTCGAACTTGCACTAAATACTGTCCTACTGATGTCATCTCAGCTAAACAGCTTCAGTATCAATAAAAACCCAAGATTACTTGACGTTCTTTTGTGTTCTGTTGGGATCACTTGTTCAAGCAATGGTCTTATGAGCCATTCTCCCGATCAGATTTCTTCAAAGGACATAACTTGTCACCAACGTAAATACCTCAACGTATGTGATGTGCTTCATTATTAATTTCTTTGATTTAGTTCTGGGAATCGAATGTTGACAAGGAGAATGGACGCGCCTTCCTTTCTCCTACCTTCTTTTCTTCAAGTGAGTAAATCTATCATGTTTTTGTTGGTTAGGTTGTTTTATCAGTAATAGTGGTTTATTTCATGTCATTTTATTATCCCTAAGTATAAGCTAAGTGGGACACATCTAGACGATCATTTTGCTCGTATTCTTATCATCTACTTCTACTTTGGTGTAAAAAAAACCTTGTTTCATGAAGCTGATTACGTATGCTAATTGCTGATTCAATTCAGTTTCTCCAAACATCAGCTATAATGAATAATTTCCTCTTAATTGGGAATTTAATCTTTTTCACTACTTACCAATAGAAGCCATCAGAAAATAAAAAATCTATTTTAATAACTATGAGCACGAGTTATGAACAGTTAGAAATGCATGTTTTCAGTGGTAAGGATGAAAACTCACATGACCTAGATCAACTCGTACAATTATCATTACTGAAAAGACATACAATGTAATGGGATCAAGAAAAGTTACAGTACAGCAGTTTTATCTCTTCATAGTTGGGGGAAAACTTCTAGGCAGATTAATTTTGCTATGCAACTACTGCTTTCTAGATGAATGATTAATCCCAAAGAGAACAAATAAAGTATGTCAACTCCTACATCCTTGTTTTTGAAGTAAAACATCCATGCAAAAACTGTGCATTATCCAAATAGTTCATACGACCCAATTAAGTCCGATATAAGATAAACTAAGTTACTAGTGAAACTTACAGTGCCTAAAAAATGTGGAGCTAAGTTGGCGCCTGTCACTCATTATGTCCATTAGCTGATGAGCCTCTTCACCGCATTCTTCGGAAGAATATTGCCACCTCAAGGGAACCCTTTACCAGTTTTCATTCAACCATAAGTGTTCAGTGCCCAAATAAAACAGTCACCTTCATTTCTGTTGAGCTTTGTCATAATGCGAAAAGTATTTATCATGGCATTTTCGGTTTTTCACTCTTGCAATCATCCAGTGTTAGTGTTTGTTTTAAGCTTGTATTATTACTATTTTTCAGTTCAGTACTCATTCCCAAATGCATGTGAATTGGATGTAAATATTTCTACAGAGGCTATAACTGTTATAATGCATTCAGTTTTCTGTTCACATGATTGGAAATCTATAAGGTAGTCAGTCTGTGTGATAATCACGGGTATTCACTAACAACTAATGGTTCCATTCTTTGGAATGATTAACGCCATTTTTGGTTTCAGCTAATACCTTACTAACTTCATTGGTACTTTTGATGTGTTAATTGGACTAACATATAGTCAGTAATTGAATAACACTAGCTCAGTTATCACTGTTCAATTTTACTTTATTTTCGGTACCGTAATTCTAATTCGGTGCTCTTAATTTATCTTCCACTTCTTACTTTTTCGTTATTTTAGATTTTCCTGAAATGATTGTTTCCGATAAAATTTGTCATTCTAGTGTTCAAGAGATGACATATGGTGATGAAGAAGCTTTCCGTGTACAGCTCGTCGCTACAGTACTGCGTAATCTGGCTGTAGATGATGCATTAAGTGCTGTCATTATCGGACGGCATCCTCAAGCTTTACGTTTCACTTTCTTGTGTATATATGCTAAACACTCCTGTCTCCACCAGCTTGGTTTAGAAATACTATCTTCGTTGCATTTTCCAGTACTTGGTTCTCTCATACCTGCTTTACATCGGTTGCTCACTACTTTGTTAGTCTGCCCTGATCGCATAGATCGCATTCATGGTGAGTTAGTTTTATTTCTTACTAAAATATAGGATATTCTGAAATGTGAAATTCAACTAGAACAAAACTTATCAACTGGTATGAAATAGTGATTTCATAACTAACATTTAAACTGACCCATATGCGCTTTTCCTCCATTCTGTCGTTTTGTGATTATTCTCCATTCTGCACCTAACGAAATTAATTGGTACCTGAAAACTAGCAGGTGAGCATCCAGGTGGTAGAGCATCAGAATTTAGAAAAAACTTCCAAAGATGGAGACAAACTAATATTATCCCTGTCACACCTAAAGTGCTTAGATGGAGGTTGCATCCTTTATAGACATAATCTAAAACGTGGGACCTAGCGTCTCCTACTTTCAACAATTGTCAGCCGTACAATATTACAGGTTGGATTGCTGGACAGATAACTCATCTTTTGGTAAATTGGCGTGTATCTCACTGATAGCATAGACGTACGGCATAAACAGGCTAGTTTCAAGCGTACCGTTTTAATGTATTGAGATTTAGCAACCATCTCAGTAGGTCTGACGCAGCTTCCCAAGCAAGTGTTGACAGTGCACCACACCACTTCACCCAACATCTCTAAGTTGACAGCTGAAATCAGCGGCTTTGGGATTTCTGATGACTCCTGTCTAGAAATTGGCCATAGTAGCCCAGATGTATTCACTCTAATGTCTTCTGAAACTTGCTTGTTCTGACTAAACTTTTAAATTCCCTCTCCTACTTTGATATCCGTTTCTCCTACCCACTTGTCCTTTGTAAACTACTGTGAATTGTAGCAACTGGGACCTATGCACTTGTGTGGGAAGTTTCACTTTGATTTTATCTGCCTGCCTATCTAGGGAAATTGTTGCACTTCATAGTACCGTGAAAGAAACAACTGTATAGAAAAAGACATGATGACGCACAACGATGTGCTAAAAAAAGGATTTCAAAATGAAAGGCAGTGAAAGTATTCGACCTTTAGAAGACATCGAAGAAGGAATACGTCTGCTCCATTGTGACCAATTTTCAGTCATTTCACCAAAAGTCCTCAACCATTGGTTCCTGTCGTCTTGGGGACCCCAGCCAGGTAATCTACACTTCCTTAAGCGGCTTACTTAAACATTCAGAGACTTCATAAAGTAGTGTCATGTCTTGATTTAGCCAATTTGAGTCTTCTAATATAGTCCAAATCCTGCCACGATTCCTCATAGAAGTAGTTGGTTGCTCGGCATGCGCAGTATGTGTCCAAGCCATCTCAGTCGCTGAAGGTCCACAACTGTTTCGATCGACTTACCTCCCTTGACCAGTACTTTTTGTGTCACCTTTCATAGATAGTTGGCTGTATCTCCAGAGAATGTTATAGATGAGACAACATAGTAACTGCCAAACGAGCCATCAGTATCCCAGGAGAGATTTCATCAGCATCTAACCCGTCCGGGCTCGCGCAACTCTAGGTTAGTGAAGTGCACGACGAACCCCACTATTTCAGTCCCTATTCCTATACTGTGAATAGTTGCAGACCAGTCCCGAAAC